TGCCTCCAACTTTGTTCTTCTTTCTCAGGATTTCTTTGGGTATTCAGGGTCATTTTTGGTTTAGAATGGTTTGGTCTATTTCTATGAAAAATACCATGGAATTTTGGTAAGGGTTACACTGAATATGTAGATCACTTTAGGTAATATGGACATTTTAACAATATTAATTCTAATAATCCATGAGCCCACAGTGTCTTCCCATATTTGTGTACAAAATATCCCCAAACCAATGTAGTCTTCAGTGCCAGCTTTCTAATTATCGCGCTTGTCTTCCCCAAATACTGTCCGCTTTTTGAATTTTGTTATTCCTTTAATCAGAAAATTTAAGTGGTTTCAAGCTCTTCCCAAGATGAAAGTAGGCTTAACTTACATTAAAGACCTTATAGTTGGACCTGAGCCCAACTCTCACCTTCATCACTTAACGTTCACGGAGGAGAATTTCCTAGGTCGCTGGAGAGCCCCTGTTTTCCTCCACCAGCTCGGCCCAATAGGACCTCTCTGCTCATTGTCTCCACCTGCTCTGGAAGTCCATTTCCAGTTTAATGTCCCTAAAAACCAACGCCAGTCAAGTCACTTCCCTACTTTGGAACACGTTTTTACACTCTAGTGCCTGGCGATGTAATTACAGACTCTCCTTGGCAACTCCATCCCGCGCTAACTCAGTAGTTCTGACTCATTCCTTTCTTTCCACATGGTCCACAGATCACTTCACTCCTGTAAGTTAAGTTTCCCGTTTTCTGCTGTAATCTTCAAGGAACAAAGCAGACACACTCAGCGGTACATAACATTTCCTACTGGGATAATTGTAACATGTGATCAATGCCTGTAGAGTGCTCACAATGTGCCAGGTATTTTTTGAGCATTTTTAAAAGTATGAATTCATTGAATCTACCTAACAGTCCTATGAGGTAGACACGATTATGGCTCCGTTTTCCAGAGGAAGGAAGTAAAGCACAGAAAGGGTGAGCGATTTTCCCAAGGTCTCATGGTTAATAAATGGCAGGGCTAGAATTTAATCTCAGATAGTCTAGGTCTGCAGTCTATGCTCTTAAGTCCTCTGGCATGCTGCCTGTCTCCTTGGGTTTCCTCCACCTACCACCCCTTCCCCAACACTGGAGGCTGAGAATTGTGGAGCCCAGTCATTTTCATTAAGGTTCAGAAAGATCCCATTCTATTTTGAAAGGGGCTCAAATCAATCAAGCCTCCAATGACTCTTAAATTTCTGATTTCCGAGATCACCTTTCTCAAGTATCATTCATATTCTACTTATCATATATTCTCTTTGCTGTCATCAAACTATGTGATAGACGAGTATATCACATCTCTCTAACTAGGTGGAAAAATGTCCCAACAAACTCATAATGGGCACTGCAACTTGCTCTTCTGATTTCCCAGTTTTGTGTGCAGTCCCCCTAATCTGAGTTCGAAGCCACTTCTGTCTGCTCTCTCTTGCCTAATCCATATTCACACACACTTCACTTCTGAGTGTTGGTTCTTCATGAGTGCCTGATACCACTCTTAATCTTCTCCACCTTGTCTATCTCTACAGTGAGACATACCTCCTCTGTCAATTGCCCCAGGGTGAGCCAGAAATGTGCTCATGGTTGTCATATTGCTTGAGAATCCCACAACCCTTCTCCAGCTAGCACAGGAATCTTGCCTGTGGTCCTCTGAACTCGAGTCTTTGACCCCAGGTATCCATTGCCAGTTTAATGTGTCGAGAGAAGAGCCTCTGTCCTGCTCCTGCTGACTACCCTTCCCTCCCCACTACTGTCTGCTGAAATGAGAAGTCACTCCTTAATTGGTATCAAAACGTCTGCTTAGCACACCGTTGACTTGTCCTTCTGACCTCATCTCCTGTTACTGCACTACTTATGTTACACCTCCTGAACAAACAGACTAAGAGCTACTCCCATAAAACATTGTTTTTCCACTTCTGTGTTCTTTCTTCTGCAATCTATTTCACTAGAAGTGCTGTTCTACCCTGCCTTCCATCTTTATATTGAGACCCATTCACATTACCTTTCTTCTTACTCTGTTTTCTCCCTTTTTAGACTGGGGATAATTTGATGAATCTCCCATTTAGCCTTCTGTTTGGCTACTAGCATCATCTGCTTTATTAAATTTGAAAATTTCTGAAACCAGAAAATGGGCCTTACACAGCTCAGTAATTCTTGCAGCATCAGCAGGGCCTTCCCTAGATCAGACATTAAGTGAATATATGTTGGGTTAAAATAACTGCTAATCCCCACTTCATTACATGCAGAAAATGTGAGTCATTGTTCTCCCGCAGTCTTACCCACCATTTGGCAAATGACAGAAATCAGAGGCTAGGATGAGTCGAGAAAAATGCCTTCTAAGTTCTGGGCCACAGGAAGGACATGTTGAAATTAAGTAACTCCTGATATCACCTTTAAAAATCCCCAAATCTGGACTCAATATTTCTCTGTATTCTATACATTTACTTTAGCAACCTGTCTCATTGTTCAGCACTAATATCTAACATCTCTGAAGGTTAGTTTCCTTGCATGGAAAACTGAGATAATAATAACTACGAGATGGTTATGGAGAATAAAGGAACTACAGATCAAAAATGATAATATGTTATTTCTTAAAATTAACTGTGGAATACAGTATAGGCTGAAAATGTGTTCAGTGTCTTCCTCTTCTCATGGGCAGCCACGGCCCCCTTAACTGATGGGGCCTGGAACCCACAACAGGCGTCGTCTGCCAGAGCGGGCTGGGCACAGGGCAGAGAAAGGGTCCTTGGGAAGGGATGGATTCAGGGGGCTGCTGCACTTAAACCACTGATCTGAAGGGAGTAAGGAGCCTCTGAGATGGACAGTCACTCACTTTCTTGTAAAAAGAAAAGATTGCTAAGTGTTAGCAGAATAAAACCCTTCCATGCCCCAGGATTCTGCCTACGGTGACTGAAATCAGATCCAGAAGGAGCAGTGTTCTGACTGCATCGCGTGGATCCTCAGCGATGTCTCTGTGAGCCTCATAAACTATTCCCCTGACTTGCCTCCCACGCCACCGTCTCCCCGTTTGAGACCATGACTCGAGAATAAACCGTGCCTAGAATCTGAGCAGGGCCGAGCCTGCAGGTGTTGAAGGGGGCTCCAGCGGGCTGCAGGGAAAGACGGCACAGTCTGGGAAGCAGGCAAGGTCTGAAGAAAACTTCTCTGCCCTTTGTATTTACCCACACAATCTCTAAAGCCACCGTCATCTTAGAAGAAGCAGAAAAAAAAACTGAGGGATAAGAAAACAGTGAATCAACTGTGACACAACAGTGTAAACACTACTGTTAGTTTTCAGGGGGCGTTATAGATTCAAATTTGCTCGAATTCAACCTTCCATCCCTCTTCCTGTCTTTATTACTTTGTGATTTTTTTTTCTTTCTCCAGCATCTTCTCCTTGCGTGGTAGCCTCCTTTGAGCACTGTTTCTAGTATCGAGCCTTTTAAATGTATGCTGTTAACTTTTCTTAACCCTTTGTTCTTAAACAAAGGAAGGAAGTCAGTCTCAATTGATGACAAGCTGCACAAATAAGCACTTTTTAAGGAAATGAAGTTTTATTATTCTTAGGGATACACCAAAACTGCTGTGAGCAGTAACAGAGCTCCAGTGCTTAGGAAATGGATGGCTGCCTTAATGTCCACATAAGCGCATATTACAGATTTACTGTTAGAAATAATATATGTGTTTGCTTTTTTCCCCCTAAAGACCTTTGCTCTTTAAATAGACTGACATTTACTTCTTTACAATTAGCAAACTTTTTTTTTTGTTTAAACACTGAGGATATTGAAATATAAATGCAACCCTTTGTTGTTTAAACCTTAATGTTAATGAGGTCAAGGCCACACACTAAATCTTTCTAGCTGCCAGTTGCCCCTGTTGCGTGGCCATAAGCGTGTGAATGACTAGCTCGGGACGCAAGAAGCATTAGGGGAGAGGATGGGGAAGAATCCGTCCAGGGCGCCTCCGTCTAATTGGAAAACGGCCCTGTCTTCATCAGCCATGGCTCCTGGGTTAGTAGCTTCGTTTTCCTTTGTGAGCATCAGTTACCTGAGAATTCTAATGATACTTTTAGCACCGTCACGATTACTTTAGTCATTTATTTATGTGATATTTCACCTTTCCACCGTGCCGTCGTGCCACTTACAACGAGGTGAGCATGTTCTGTTTTCAGCGGCATTTTTCATTGTGTAGGTCCTACTAGTTAAGGCTAATAATATGGTGTGAGCACATGGAATTGCATGTGAAGTCCGAAGGAAAAAATAATGATCCGTTTCATGAGATGAGTGATTTTTACTAACTTCTCATTCCAACTCTAAAGGTGCTTTACCCCCTTGATTAAAATGTATTTCTCAATTAAATTAAAATGCAAATATAGACAGGCTGTGTTTATGGTCATAAGAGAGTTATTTAAAGAAGGTTTTAATTCAACCTGCTGATAATATTTCATGCGGGAACTGTTGGTTTTACTGTTGGCTTAGTACTGCCATGTTCCATTTTCAAGATTACTTACAAGTGCTGTGGAAACTTAATCACATGCCCACATTTTATCAGTTTTTGCTCTCTCTTTAGGAGGTTGAAGCAGACTGCTTTCCTATATCCTTTGTAAGTTATGTCAGTGATGCAGAAATACTGGTACTAAAACTGTAGAACCCCTTGAAACTTAGTTATGAAAACGTTGCTATTTGTTTTAAATAAATATTTTATTGCACAGAATTGAATCCACTCTTACATTTAGGAGAACCACGTTCTCTACTTTATCATGAAATTAAAGATCTGTAAAAGTACTTCAAGAAACCATTAGTTAATTTATACTGGAAATAGAAAGTATTTGTATTAGAAAATGCATCTATTGCTATGGATTTTATTAGGATCCTTTTAGTACTTTTTAGAAGTCCAGTATTCTATCACTTCTCAAGCCCATTGACTAAAATAATTTTGAATACTTTGTAGTTTGATCTTATTCTTTTTTGTTATTTTTAGAGATCTCAGTGAAAACCAAATTCAGGCAATTCCAAGGAAGGCTTTCCGCGGAGCAGTTGACATTAAAAATCTGTAAGTATCTTTTTAAAATGTATACTGTCTTTTTAAAGCTACCCGGTTTTAAAGTTGAATTCATATTAAAGAAAAGATAATAAAAAGTGGTAAGAGCCGCATGCATCTTTATGCTTGATTAGAAGAGCTTGTAAGAGTAAGGTCTGTCTTGTTTTCACGAGCTGTCTTGAAGGCATTCTCATTTAGAAGGCGCCTGGAATCTGGACCGGTGATCAAATTCATTCTTCAAACCCTGTGATTAATCTTGTTAAATCAAAGGAATTGATTTGATTAAAAGGTAGTTTCAATGTATTTTCTGCCTTTTCCTGTCAGCTCATTTCAATATCTCCCTTTTCAGTTGTTATTGGTGTTTATTAGATATGCAGAATATAAACTATTTTTTCTGAAAGAGTAGATAATATTTTCTCTTTAAATGTGCCTGTAGGCTAGAGCCATAGCTTTTCAAAATAGCTTTTAGATCAGCATTTTCATTAAATCCCAGCAATGTGAGAGTGAGAAAATTATTCCTTTCCTTTTGTGTGAATATTTTTTTCTTCTATTTTTCTTCATATATTTATGAAAAATATATGTATAATCTTATTCAAAAAAAGAAAGAAGAGAAAGAAAACTTTCTGTATTTTTCCTCGCTAAATCTTGAATCCGTAGTCTTGTGTAGAAGTGTTTATTGTCAATGAGGTAGTTCTGCAAGTACGTGTCAGATTTAAAATCTCAGTGACAGTACTAATATTGTGGGTGTATATTTTTTATAAATTCTAAGTATTATCCTTTGAAAATGATGGGTTTTGATGGACTGTGAAAGCTAGAGCATAAACCGTTTTCCTTATCCTTTACTTCAGTTCGAAATGTGGGGGGAGGAAGGCCGCCGAGTGCTGAGATTAACTATCAGGAATTCAGTAACTTTTGGCTGGTAATAAACAGGGCAGGGACTTTGTCAAGAATTAACTTACATTCAGAATTCGCCATGGTCGGGTCCAAGACTATTTTTTCAGTAGCCACAGTGAGACAGATGTTTTCCCTCGTCAAAGAGGACGACTGAAAAGCTATTAGTTTGGGCCTTTGTGTCTTCTTTTCGATGCAAATGGTTTTTGTTTTAAATTTGTACTTTCTAAAGGTACAAAAACAGGGAAAAGACAGGCTTCTAGATGTGACTGTGCAGAGGCATGAAAATCTGGCCCTAGGTTATTATGAGTGTTCACATAGTCAGAGGAATTTATTTGCTTCCGTTGTGTCTTCTTGAGCTAGAGCTCAGGGAAGTCTTCAGGTAGATTCTGAGAGGTAGCGTGTTCCAAACGGCCTTTGCAGCTTGTATTTGATCAGAACAATACAAGGACCCCATGCAGGCAGCACCTACTCGAGTTGCCAACCTGTCACCATAAAAGGAGAGTACCGGCTACAGTTGACCACCCTTTGGGAATGCACTTACGATTTTACCATAGCATTACCACTAAATCCTTATAACAGGTGGCTTGTACTTCTTAGGAAAGATATTCAGGGAATCGAAGTCTATAAGTAATCCTTCTGCTGAATTTAAGGATGCATTTGGGAACAGGATACCAGTCATGGTGACATTCTTCCTTATGCTCTCTTCATTTAACCTTAAAAAATTGGGATTTATAAGTTCAGAGATAAAAAAAAAAGTGAGAAGGCAGCCAGTGTACTGAAAGGAATGCATTATTGACTTAGCAGGATTTTAAGAAATCTTTTCCCCACATGCATTATTTCATCCCCAAAGTTTAAGGCAGTTATTATATATACAGTGAGAAGAGGTTAGGGCTGAAATCTTAGAATCATTTGCTATTTATTGGATTTGTAGCTGTGATAAACCAGTAAACTTCCCTGAGCCTTCGTTTTCACTTTTAGAAAATGACTGTAATAATTGCTTGGGTTTGTTGTGGGTATTAGGGGAAGAAGATACGTAAAAGAACTTAAAACAGTAAAATGCTATGAAATTAGAGTGCATTTCATTCTGCAAGGATTCACTAACCAACTGCTGAAAGTTAGCTTTGGAAAAGGTAGGGTAAGAAGACAGAAAAGCAGGACATAAAGTAATTTGCAATTTAGGAGTGGATAAGGAAGACCAATGTCTATCGTGGGTCCTTTAGACGTGGAGCTACAAATGGAAAGAGAAAATATCTCAGGAAGTACTAAGTGAGTAACACACGACTCTGACATTAAGTGCTGTATTGGTATTGGCATTGTGGAAAGAAAGAGATAAAAAGGATCACTTGAAGTCATCAGGGAGTTCTGAAGGGAAGAGTTTCTAGGAGGAAATAGAAAAGAATCTTCTAACAGGTTGCTTTGTATTGAGGAAGTGAGAATTCATTAAAGAGGAGGAACAAATATAGAATTCATTCCCATGACTGCCTTCCGTGGAACAATGGGAAAGACCATTAGAGCAACACTGAAATACCACAGTGCATTTTGGGTTTATTTAATTTATTAGGATCATAGCTACAATTTTATAGAATTTTACTGTGAAAAGGCATTTTTTCTGTAATTAAAAAATAGTTCATGCCCTGACTGTTGTGGCTCAGTTGGTTGGGCATTACCCTGCAGACCAAACGGTGGCTAGTTTGATTCCTGGGCTGCGCACATGCCTGGGTTGCGGGCCCATCAGTATTTCTCTCTTGTATTGATGTTTCGCTGCCTCTCTTTCTTCCTCCATTCCCTCTCTATGAAAATAAACTAAGTCTTAAAAAATCATTCAAACTATATTGTTTAAAAACTGTCTAATTTTATGGGCCTTTGTGTAAAGTTTAGTTTTCTCATTGAAAGTTAAAAATATATCTGGTAGAATATATTTAATCTGAGGGTAAATTTTAATTCACATTATTATTAAACGGGTATCCACAAGCCACCAAATAATAACTCAATAGAAGTTCACAAATAGTCGCATATTTAATATTATTACGTGTTCAGTGTGAGAAGGAGAGGTACAGTGCTGGGTCCTGTTTGCCCTCCAGTGGATACATTTACAGTTCAGACAGTCCCGCATGGTGCCGTGATGGCCAGTGTTTCCACCATCCAGAGAGTAAAAGAGGAAAAAGAAGGCCAGACAGAAGAAATATATGCTCAGGTTGTGTCGAGGTGATACTTTTGTATAGCACTGAAAGCCAATCTGATGCACTGTAAGGGGCGTATTGTATTAACCACATTCAGACCTCATTCAGAGCGAGTTCCAGTTATCAGGAGACTTTCACGCGGCGGACTTGCTTTAATCATGTGGATTGGCTAAATGTGCTCACGGCAGCATCCTGACAACATGAAATTGATGCTGTGTAAATTTTTGCAAATTTGCAGATCTTATTCCTCTTCCTTCCGGCAAGCCACACAGAAATTATGCTAGACAGATGGACATTTATCTTGCTCTTAATCATCTCCAGGGTGGACTTCCCATAACTTTTTCCTCCTCTCTATTAATTTCTTAACCAGATTAAAACTCTTTATATCTTTTTTGTTCCCTCGTTTTATTCAGCTGCAATTGAAACCACTTTCATATTCCTTAAATTTTAGATGGTAAGATCCTCGAATAGCAAGATTGTATTAAAGTATCAACTAAATTATAGTGTTTATGATATTCACTGGCAACACTTTTCCTGAGGATTTCCATCCGTGTTTCCAAACTACCCAATCAAGTATGAATTCAAGTATTGGTACCATATCATTACCAACTGATGCCTCACCAAAACGATAATCAATGTTTATGCCACTTTTCTTTATAAACTTTGCATATATTTTATATATTTAACACGAATGCAGTAAAACCTTTTCTGCCTTCTGACCAAATCTTGAACAAAGACATGTTACATTGTGCCAGTGTTTTTTTAAAACACAGATTTATGAAGTATTTCCATTTAATTGAATAAATTAGGAGAATATTCAAATTAAACCTTTCTTTATTGCTGAGGCTTGCAAGCTTAATCTCTAAACATGTCCTTTATGAGTATAAAAATCCTCCAAAAGTCTCTTGTGTTTATGAGAAGCCATACCAAGTCATAGTTATCCCAGGATTTAAATGAAAACATATTCAAATATATGAACTTAAAAATAAAGTAGATGGCACGTTGTTATTCATATCACAAAAGCAAATTCCAATATACTTTTACCATTAGCTTCTTCACTGAGCTCAAGATCGATACTTAAAATAATTAAATTCCAACAGCATTATTTTAGATATACTGTATAATATAAATCACACTTGCTTTTTTTCTAATTCCATTTTGCAGTACATCCTCAAATGTACTCTATGTTCTTGTCAAACTTTACTTTTTACTGTTCACAAATAAATACAATCCTTTCCACTTACTTGCATTATCCCCAACCCCTTCACCCTACATCTGTTCTGAGCCTTACCATCCCTTCCAGAAAACTGCCTCCTGGTAAAAAGTAGGTTAGGGAAAATACTATATTTATTTTTTTTAAATATACATCCATGTGTAGACAAAGGCTTAAATTAAAGAGGATCTGGCTTTGTTCTGTCTATCTGACTAAATCATGGTGTCATTTGAGAAAGAGGTATGTACGGCCATGTCTTTTTAGGAAACAGATCACCCACTTTGGGTTGCGATGATAACTGGTAATAAGAAGATTCAGCCAGCAGGAGAATTCATCTCCATGTTGTTATTATGCATTTTTCTATACAAATGCAAGACTTACTTTACCTTTGTCACATAATTTAAGTCATAATTGCAAAATGTCTACAGTAATCAGCTCGTTTTCATGTTTAGTTCTCAACATTTCTTATCATCCTTACAACTTATTGCATACTTACCATAAAAATAAAATCCATTGGTGTTGAATTTAAGTTGTAACTCTTAGTGGCCCTGGCTTTTTCTTGAGTGTTTTTAGTCAGATGAGGCTGCAGAGACTTTGAAGGGGAGGCTGGTTCCTTACTCAAGGGGCCTGCTGTCATCCTCAGTATCGGATTCAGTACCACGGGTCTTCACTTGGACATAGAACCTCCAGAACAAACCTGTGGAGGTGACCCTTCATCTGGATAG